AGCTATGATGACCCTCACCCCGCAAAATAAGATGTAAAGCGTAATGCCATTGCCAGAAATTCAAATGATACTTCAATTACATAAAAATGTTTGCACAGTGAAGACTGTCTTAAATACAAGGCCACCTTTCCCTCTGCAGAATTGATTTGAACACATCTGCATTTTAACAACCCAATAAGGTCAACAGGAACATGAACAGAATATTTCTACTGGTCCCACAAGGAAAATTTACAGATGGAGTTATCAGAGAAATTTACTACAGGCAGAGCAAACCAACCCCATCCCAGGATGTCATTACTGAATAAAGAGTAACTGCAGACATATGAAATGGAACGCTTAAGAAAACTACTTGCTGGGCCCTTCAAAGCATCAATCAATCAAGATTCCCTTGATGGGCCCCTGCCTGATATACAGTCAATGACTTCTGTCACAGCAACTCCTTCCAAGTCCCCCTCTGATCCAAGGCATCTAGCTGTACAGCAGGAAAGGCAAAACCTTCCAAAGAATGTGGTTTGAACAGCCCACAAGTATAACCAATTAGAGACCAAACCTAAGCACATTTAGTAGGGGGCAAGTCCCAAGACCATGGTTGTTTTCATCTGAGTAAACATGCAACACATTACATCCAAATGTAGATTGATCTTACAATTAAGCAAAAAGTTGTCTTCTGCAGCCAGATGTAAGCAAAGAGTAGGCATAGCTAATCCTTGATATTTATAGGCAGATCAAATGCAATTATAAGACGTGGACGTTTTTAAATAATAAAATAAAAATTAAACATTTTGATGCACATGGTACCATTTGCTCAATTTAATCTGCTACATACAGCTGTACGGCCGTGCTATAAGGAAGCCACCCTGGTCTGGGCTTCAGGTGGAAATGACCCCCCAGAACCTCAGGAGCTGCTCTTGCTTGTGTCTCTGGATAAGGGCTGGATGTTTCCTTGCACAGATGCCCATCCCTTTCTTTGCATTCCTCACTTAGTTTAGCAGGTAAGGAGAAGTCTAAGGTAGAGCTAAGAAGCGAGTTGGTAAGTTCCAGAAGTTCTATCTGGAACATACTGGAGTGAGAATTAGGCAAGCTCCAAGGATCCACACAGTTTCTGCAGCTTTTCCAGGCAGATCCAATCAGACACTGCCTTGAAGCTGCCATGTAGGGATTGCTGATGAGAGTTGGCCAGCAGTGTAGTAGGAGCATCTACAGCAGATGGACATTTCCTGTAGCTTATATATTCCTAACACAAAGCTCAGTAGTACTATGTTGCAGTAACTCCAAAATCAACAGGGGCCCTGCCTGCCATTTGCTTTTAGAATAGCTGCATAATAGTGGGCCATTACAGAGGGCCTTAGCACCCAAGGCACAGGAATGGTTCCTGGAGCATCAAGGCTAGGCCAATTCACAGTACGTTTGGCAGTACGAGCAGCTGTCCTTTTCTCTAGACCATCAGCCACCTACCGGTACTACCGAGTTTGAATAATCTGTGAACTAAAATACGTCTGTTTCAGCCAAATCCCTTTGCCACAGCTGCATCCCTTCCGCACTGTTTAGACTCAAGTTAAGGCACTTTAATACTGCATTGAGGACAGAGCTCCCCAGAAGCCAAAAATCCTCAAGAGAGATAGTGCTGACTAAAGTTTTTAAATTCATCATCTAGGGGAGTCAGTTTTTCAGGTGATAAAACCGACATTCAGGTTTCTGCATTCACCATTCCTCAGGATGTTTAAAACTCTAGCAAACAGAAACAACTGTTTGTACATCAACTCTGTACACCATTTGTAATTCACGCAGAGGGGGCACGGAAGAGAGCAAATTGTATCTTATGATTTACAGTTGGACTCCCCCCACATTAGTGATTATCAAAGCTTGGTGATTTTTAAAAGTGTCATGTCAGCTAAGCCTGTTCGAAGAAAAAAAACAGTTATTTTGAAAACACACATCTAGTGATGGTTTACAGAATCATTGCATCAAACAGGAGAATTTTATATAGGCATGTGGCAAAACTGACCAACTGTATGTCACAGCTATAAATAAAGGCCCTTGCTGCAATGCAGTCCCTTATGCTTTGCTGTTATCCCAAACTTGTTCTAGGTCAAAAGCAAACTCATAAAAGTGTCTTGTTAATATACAAGCATCAAATATAGTCTAAAGACATTATTAGTCTAACTGCTTGAACATATCAATTCCTCTCAAGTCAAGTCTTCCATGCCCCAAAAGAAAAAAGTAAAATGTATCTTTCGCTGTTCTGTATTGGAAAAAGTTGCTTAGAATTTTCCTGAGCCAAATGTTGTCCACCACAGCCAGGAAATGTTTCAGCCCCATGTCTTCTGTCTGAATGGCATCCACACTATTCTGCTTAATATCCAAAATCTGTCTAGGAGAAACTTGGAATATTGGGTAAGAAAACTGTGGTGTAAGCACCGTCAAGTGACTTCCACTGTGCGCGTTCCAAAGAGATATAACGGGCTGTCAAATCACAGCAAGCTGGAAAACATGGGCAGCTGGCAGTGCTTAAAATGTGCCATTAACAATCATTGCACTTCAAATGTTCATGATAGCTGGGAAAATGAAGCAGTAATGTAAAGACTGGCCAGTGGCAATCACTCATTTTCATCTGGATTCTGAGGGTCAATTATTTTGACATGTGTGAAAGGGAACAACCCTTTCCTACCATGGACTTCACCTTCCCATTGACCATTGATATTCATCCTTGTCACCTTCACCATGTCACCAACCTGCAGAGTTGAAAGAGAAAAAGGTACACATCTTAGAACCTAGCTGGAAGATGGAAAATTCATTCTGACTTAAAGAAACTGCACTGCAGGAAACGTTTCTGGGCTTCTTCAATATATATAGATAAATCTGTTATTGGTCAACAGCTCACCTGCTCCTCAAGCCAAGACCAGTACTGAAGAAATTTAAAGGATCATAGGATCCATCATATACAGAGTGTCACTGACTTAGTAAAGAGAAGATCTGAACAATCACTTAAGTGCCAGTTATGATGAAGTAGATCTTTTTCTCCTTTGGGAAATCCATTATACAAATGCTTCTGTGATTTTGCTAAGGCAATGAAGTGTGCATGTTCCCCTTTTACTGAACTGTTTAGCATATATGAAAACTTATCTCTACTGTAAAGCAATACCATGGACTTGGGGACAGCCCTGCTAGATCAATCTAACGTTTGTTTCTCAGTTGATGAGTGGAACTGAGGCCAAATAATGTACTACATTTAATCAAAGCCCTGGCAAGTAGCTCAGCTGCCACTCCAAACATGTCTGCAAATAACCCTGCTTAAGACTAGACTCTAAGGTTATTTCCTACTTGGTATATCATTCCAATAATATAAGTTCCATTGGTCAATATGGAGATTTAGATAATAGAATTTGGAGATGGGTGGGTGAGAGCAGTGTTTGCTTTCTGGAAGAGTGGGTGAAGGACAGCCATTCCAGTTGAGACAATGTGATGCCATTTATGGGAACATAAAACATTTGCCTTTTATTCTTTCACTCTAATCTGTAAGAATGCTGGGGCAGGGGAGAAAAATACAGAGCATTTAAAGACTGCTAGCTGAAATGGCACATCCTATTCCATCACTGCATTCTGCTTCACATGTTGACCTCTTCTCAGGAACAAACTCCAGAAAATCGAGTTCACTTTTGTGCTTCAGCTGATAAGAGACAACCTTGAAGATTAGCCACACAATTTACCCCCACACTTGTGCTACATTAAAACTGGCATTTTCCCATTATGAAGAGTCCAGCATCCTACTCAGAAAGATGCTACAATTTCTCCTAGGTTGGGAACAAACAACAAGCAAAGGCCCTTAAGCCTGGTTTAAGTAACATCTTTTCAGCATTTCAACAGAATCCACATTCTAATTTGCCTCTTTCCCATGTAACACTTTGACTGTGAAGATTAAAATTACCTATTTTTAACTGGAATTGTCTGAATGACCTTTCAGATATTACATAAGGTAGGTCTCCTGAGAGGAACTGATGAAGATATTTAATAATAATTCATCAGTTCTGTTCATCAGGCCCTCTCATTGGACTCACATTATTTCAGTGTTGTGAAAACTAGGTGCCACGTAACTTGGAGGAGGGGAGGAGTGGCTCAGATGAGATGCTGCTCAAAGAGGCAGAATACTTAGGCTAGCACTAATAAGGCAAATGAGGTTAAGGGTAGAGCCAGCCACAAATTCTGCAGATTAAATAATGGATTAACAATCTTGTCTCATTAGTGTCAATGGCAATTTATTTACTTAGATAACCCTAAACCTAGATTATTTATTTATACATTTCACAATTTCTCCTCCCTGGCTTTACCCCAACAGACAGCAGCAGTTGATGCAGCAAGCATTCAGTGCCTCAAAATTTTCTTAACACCACTTAGCCTATTAATGACAACAATGTACTTCTACATTTCAGTTAGCAGAGCCACTTAAATATGTAAATGTTAACAACAGCAGTCAGAACACTATTTCTGCAACATCCACAAGAACAGCACTAAATGAAAAAGGTGCCAAAGAAGAGTAATTTAAAATGCTCTCTGACTTTATTTTCTTTGCAAAGCAATGAGGCAAAACCATTGCAAGAGTAAGCACAAAAGGACCTTAGTGCCATCCACATTATCAGTGAAATGGCAAGAAAATGGAGCCATTGGAGCTGTTCTCATAGCTTGACAATTTAATTTAATAAAACATTTTATCCTGTCTTTTCACAAATTTATTTATTTATTTATTTAGAAAATTTCTAGGCTGCCCCATTCGCCAAAGCCTCGGAGCGGCTTACAAATAAATAAATTAAAATACATAAATAACAATATAAAATACACATAACTGTATAAAATAAGTTGCCCTGGCCAAAAAACTTTAAAATAAAAATAACATTAACAATTAAAATGACGCTTGAATAAAAAGGTCTTCGCCTGGTGCCGAAAAACAAATAACGACGGCGCCAGGCGGACCTCTCTGGGGAGCGCATTCCATAGATTGGGCGCCACCGCAGAGAAAGCCCTCCTCCGAGTACCTATCCTCCTAATTTCCTTCACAGAGGGTTCCCATGGGTTCCCAAATGTCTCAAGAGGGCTTACAGAATATAAAATAAAGACACTAAAAATACAATCTGTAATCTGTAATAAACCAGTTGTGGATTATTTAATTCAGAGTGAGTCTGCAATGCATGCAGAACACCTATGGTTTTCATTTCAAATCTACAAACCCTACTCTTGGAAGTGTCGTAAAAATCCAGATTGTTTAACATTTGCTTGCAAGAAAGGAAGCAAGAGCAGTCTCGTACCAGGTGAGATAAGAGTAGAGAAAAAATAGGATTTATTTATTTATTTAGGTTAGGGGAAGAAGAAAGTGTGAGCTGGAAAGGTCTGATTCAGTGAAGTGACTCAAGAGTGGTCGAAAAGGAACTGAGGGACTGGGCGGGAACCTCCCCTTTTGCCTGGGTCCCTGGAAGAGGCAGGGCAGGGCTCCTGCCCACCCTGTGATGCTGAGCCTTGCATTGCGTGGCAAAGCCCATATGGGTGATTGCACAGAGACCACGAAGAAGAATCCAGATTTTTTAACATTTGCTTGCTGGGTTTACACAGCGTGAAAGCCTAAGAAGTCTGAAGAGATGTCCTAGGCATGTTGTCCGAATTTTGCTATTGTTGAATTCATAATTTGGAAAAACATTGGTTATTTTCAGCTACTTCAAAGCATCCAAAACAAGAGTGCTGCAAAAGTACTGTAACAATCTAACAATTAACAAAAGAAGCATCTAACAGCTTCAGCTTCCTTTGCAAAGGAAGATGGTCAATGTAAAACACTTCAATATTAAACTGAACTAGTCAAACCCTATTTTGTATAATGCTGTCAAGAGGTGCTAAAGCTGGGCATATTTTCCTCTACTTACAATTTAACTGCAGTAATTGCAGGAAGATTTAGAGGCTGATGATGGCCCTGTAATGTACTGTACAAAGACTATACTGCTTCACTGAAAAATAACCAAGGCTGAAATCTGCATTTGACACTTCGATGAATTCATACATTGCATTTACAATTCATTTATCTGAACTATTTTTATTCTACTGCTGAGCTCCAAAATATTGATAAATAAGCCACTGTTGGCTATCTGGATCATGTGAACTACGTCACTCAGTTCAACAGTGATTATTTCTAGGAATGTGCACGCGCGCACATGCACATGTGTGTGTGCAGGATTTTGAACATTCAACATTTATGGAAGGGTTAAACACCAACAGGTTACGCAAATCCCACATGGCATGCACTGTACTCCACTGCGCCCTAAATAATCATTTTAATAATAATATTCAAAATGGCATATACCACAGTGGAGTATATGTGCAAATCAGTCCATGAGGGTTGATTTTTGAGTAGACTTTCAAGAGACTACACTGTGAAACTTGGAAGCAGTATGAGTCAAGAGCTATATACTCCTTTTTGCAGGCCAATATAAACTGCACACTAGTATCTTTAATCACAAGCAAAATGTAGCTCCAAGGATAGTAAAGACACACATACCAGCTCTCCTCAGAGGTTTCCCAAATGTGTGGGACAAGTCCCAAAGAGACCTTAGGGCATTTAAAGCATTTTGAATCCAGCCAAAGGCAAGCATTCTGTCATGTGGAGAAGAAACAGAGGGAGCCCATGTGGCTCCACAAAAAATTAAGTGACAACGTGAAAGAAAAAAAGAATATGTACAGGAGGTGGAAGCAGGGACAGGCCACTAAGGAAGATTATAAACTCATAGCATGGAATTGCAGGAAGATTAAAGCAGGAAATGAACCAAGAATAGCAAGAGATGCTAAAAACAACACTTCTTCTGGTATGTCCAATACAAAGGACAAAGAGAAGGATGTCCAGCTACTCTTCCCTTTTATTGTAAGCTGTCCTGAGATGTTCTGTAGGGGATGGGATAGAAAAGTTTTTAATAAATAAATAAAATAAATACTTAAAATGAATGGCAGAGTGATAACAGATGATCAGGAAAAGGTCATCCATGAAGGAGCAGGAAAAGGTGGAGGTGCTCAATTCCTACTTTGAATCAGTCTCCCAAAAGAAAATTTACAACCAAGAGGAAGTACAATCTGAAAGTGAGACTGGCAGCCCAAGATTGATGGACAAATGGTTAAGGAATTCCTAGATGGAATAAACATGTTCAAATTTCCAGGGTCCAATGCACTCCATCCCAGAGTCTTAAAAAAGCTAGTGAAGGAACTCTCAGAACCACTGGCTATTATCTTTGATAAATCTTGGGAAACTGGAGAAGTGCCAGATGACTGGATAAGGGCTAACACACCCATCTTCAAAAAAGGGAAAAAAGATGAACCTGGGAACTACAGACCAGGTAACAGAAATTCCTAGAAAAAATCTGGGGCAAATTATTAAAAAAGCAGTCTGTAACAGGGTGGATTTGATTTAAATCAAATTTATTTAAAATACAATTTAAATAACTAGTCAGTAAAACTAGATTTAAATCATGGTTTTCTATGTAATCTGCATGCATGCCTTACCTATAGGTAGCGGAACTTCACTGAAATATTCCCAAACTGGGGCTCTTTTATGGCCTATTGTTATTATTGGTTTTCTCCTCCATGGAAAGAATATGATGAATCTCAGGTTGTGCTCAAAAAGGTTCAAAGACCTATGGAGTATTCTACTCAAAAGGTTTCACTTTCATTTTTACTGCTTGCCCCTCCCTCCTCACACTGTACCGATCTATTCCACTCCCAACAATTTTCTTCTAATCATTGGATTTTTTGAAACTATGCACTTAAAGGTGAGGGGTTGATTTTGTGTGCATAGATTTGTAAAAGAACAATGGGATTAAGGTCTTTTTCTCAACTCTATGTTTATTTTATAATTTTTGCTGTGAAGAAGAGACATGTGATCTCTGCAGACACAGATTCAGTTTTGAGAACTGTAAAACCAAGCATCTGTAATGATATTGTCTAGATAGAAAAATTGTCCAAGAATCTTACAGATACCTCTGAAAGAGTAAGACATCATGAATGGATAAATCTATCATAAATGGGTTAGTTTACCAAAAAATTTAAACATTACATGAATATACAGCCTCAAGCTACATAATTAAAAACTAATTCTTAATAATCTTTGGACTGTAATGTATCGTAAATAAAAAACTATCTTTGAATAGATTGTTCCCCCAGAAGGATTTTATTTAAAAAGTCCAGTTTAAATTTTAAAAAAATCCAATTAAGCTTAGAAAACAGTGTATATGTAAAGATGCAGCAGACATACATAAACATATACATGACATTAAGAAAGTAAATAGGAAGAACTTTTTCTTTCATATCATTAGAAACCAGGTTTATCTTAGGGAGTCAAATGGTAAGAGATTTAGGACAGAAAAACAAGAAACATAAAACAGAATGAGTCAGAAGGGACCTCCTGGGCCATCTAGTCTGACCCCTGGCTCCAGCTGGCTCTGCTCATGTAACCCCCAACAAGGAACTACTCATTCACAGATATCCTGTTAAACTCTGGAACAGGCTGCCACAAACATATTAATGGAAGGCATTAATTTAAACAGCATTAAACAACATGGAGAATGAAAGACTGCTAGACATGATGGGTACATAGTACCTCCAGGACCAGAGGCAAATGCCAGCTGCTTGGGAAAATGTGTGGGAGGAGGCTCTTCCACTCACATCCTCCTTGTGGCCTTCGGATGGACATGTATTTGGCCATGGGTGAACAAGAGAGGTGTTTGGTCTGCTCCGGCATGGCTCTTCTCCTATTCTTAAGACACAGAAGGCAAACACAGAAACACTCTGTGGTAAAACAGCAAAGTAGCCCAGCAAGGAAGGCATCTGAAAAGCTTACCTCTAATGCTAAGGCAGTCTTGTCATAAGCACATGGTACTCTCTTTTGAATTGCTTTGGCATAGACGGGTCCATTTTGTGTTGATGGTAGGGGGTTGACCACTGCCCCAGGCGTATTGGATACACTGGGAAGAGGGCTTGTGGTTTGTGGCTGAGCATAAGCATGGGCAGGCTCAGGAATCCCATAGCTGTTGGAATTCCTATTCCCATGTTTTCCATGTGGGGAAGATCTCACAAGCTTCTCAACATAAGGAACTGGGATCATTCCAGCGCGACCATCTTTGTTTCTGGCATTCCACCACTGTTCTTCAGGCTTCTCTACAATGATCAGTATCTCCCCCTTTTTAAATGGCAGATCCTCTGCATCATTTCCAGGAAAGTCATAAAGAGTCCGCACATATTCCACATTCTCTTCTGTAGCAGTGATGGCTACTGATCCTGATCCCATTAGTGGTGCTGGATATCTGAAAAAAAAGCATGGGAGTTAATAGCAGATATTCAACTGCTTAAAATAGCTTTTAAATGTTTCAGGAAATGTTTGGTGTTATCTTTTTAAAGCTGAAATCCTGTGCACATTTTTGGAACAAAGGGACCCGCTCTGGATGACACAACAAGCCACAGCAAACTCCAGCCAGGGCACAGATATTAATAATTGTGCCGGGCATGCCACAATGAGCTGTTGTGCAACTTGATCCAGCAGAGGGAAACATCTAACTAAATGTGAGGGTGCTGTAATCCCTCTCAGTTTAATTGGTACCAATGATCTAGTTAAGATTTGGATACAAATATACTGGGAGACAAATGTGGAAGTGGGAAGACTTTTCAGTTTGTACGTAGCCTTCCACAACCCTTTAAATATGCCACTTCTGCAAAAAACAAGAAAACAGGAAATGGACAGATTGCACTGACTTATATTATCAGCTGCTTAAAGATATTGGGGGTGTCTAACATCAGGATTCAGAGACAGAGTGCTGTCTCCTTATACACACCACATTTTATATAAACAGTTAAGCTACTCCATGTAGTTGCCAAATACAGAACTGCTTCAGGATGGGGGAGAATATGCTAAGACAGGGCTGAGCAACTTATGGCCCTTCAGGTGTTTTGACCTACAAGTCCCATCAGCCCTCACCACTGGCTGTGCTGGTTGAAGATGATGACAAAGGAAGGAGCTGAAGCTTATTGGCCCACCCTGTCCAACACTGTATTAAGACTCTGTATAACTGCAAATTAAGAGGTGTTTAATTGTTACAGGCAATTAATATATATGTTTGGAAAAATAAATGCTTTTCAAATAGGAAACTTGATTTAAATCAATCCAACCTGATAGTATTATGCCTTGTAGTATTCCACTCTGCCGCTACAGTTAATAAAAATGAAGGGTGATTAAAAACAAAGGTAGACCCAATAGAATGGAGCATCATAATCTTCACTGGAAGTCAGGTGGAAGACAATCCAATGAATTGGAATTGATTCAAATGACCCAATTTCAAACAAAATTGTAACCATATTCAAATGAGCACTTTAAACAAGAAGCCTGACTACGGGAAATAGAAGACCTTAGTTTTACTTTGCATTCTCAAGTCATGAGTTGGTTCCAGCTATAAAGACTAAAAAATATGTCCTCATATTGGTTTGCTGGACTTCTTAGCACAACGGAAGGAAACAAATGCTGAAACATATGACTGCAGCCTTACTCAGCAATAAAATCCTATTGAAGAACAAGGGGCAGTTTTCCCCAACAATGGCAGGCCCTACTATGAAGGGTTGGAATAGGCTACCACAAACTTCTGTAGTTTTGAGTTTCAGAATAGTGCCAGAAAACACAAGTGGTGGGAAGAAAGAAAAAGAAAAAACCACCTCCACTTTGTTGCTTGCTCAGCACCAACAAACAGAATAATCTGTGCACCAAACTTGTTCTTAGGGTTTGCTTTACCTATGTAAAATATTCACCATCCTAAACATGTTTAGCCAAAATGTAAGTCCTGTTATTATTAGTCTACAAGTAAGGAGCTGCAGGACCTTTTTCCAATCTAAACATACATAGCACTGTGTTCTTAGCTTGATTATTGCTGCATCTGGTCTAAGCAAATAGAGTGCTGAATTAGTCATAAGTGTAAGCTTAAGGGACACAGTTCTTCATAAAATTGAAGCAGTTTAATTTTGCAGGTCCTCCATGTTATTCAATCAACTTTCTTTGCTACATTTGCCTTGCTACATTCATTAACTGAAGTAAAAAAGTCTCTTAATCCTGGCCTAGTCACCAAGCCACCCTGGGTTAGCTTTTATGAAAACATCATCTTCTCCATATTAGGAGAAGCTAGTGAACATCTCATATAGTGTGCCAAAATGCTGCCATACATTACGAGGAAAATTTCAAAGGCTAATAACTTTATTCCCAGTAGACGTACAGCAATGAGGTAAACTTGAAAAAACAAAGCCTATAAAATACAATCAGAAGCTTTTTTGGACTGAGAACTGGAAAAGCACTAAAAGAGGCAGCAGCATCTATCTGAGAATAGGAAGCTCCGGGGCAGTTACGCTTCTTACTCATTTGCACTGCGGCCGTTGCGGCATCCTCCGCATGTAAACCGCTCCATCGCAACGGCGGCAGGGAGCGGGGGGCAAAACCTGGCCTAGGCCTAGGCCTAGGCAGGCGCATGCAGGCTTGTTAACGACGTAGGCCAGGTCGGCCCTGGTCAGCAGGCAGTGGCACTTCGCCACCCGCGCCAAGCGGGAGGAGCTGCGAAAGGGCCCGCCCGTCACGCTGCAGGGCTGGCAAAAGCCCAGGCTCTGAGCGTAGCCGCCCGGGAGCCCTTCGGCGCGTGGTGACCCGCTGCACGCAGCGCCCTGGGTCGGGGCCGCGGGGCCGCCGGGCGGCAGGAGCAAGGCAGTCGCCCAGCACGTCTCCTGGCCGCCGGGAAGGCCGCCGCGCCTGGCGCGCGACGCGACGGCTCCCTCCGAAGACCGCGCATCCGGGAGTGCGGGCGGCGCGGTCTCCCCCGCAGCTTCACTGGAGCCCACCCGTTGCCACGGGGCCGCCCAAGGGCGACGGCGCGGCCGACAGGGAAGGCCGGGAGGGCAGGGCGCCGCCGGCCCGGCGCGAGGGGGCGGGCCTTCCGCGCGGCGGGCCTCACCTGGGCGCGGGCTCGATCAGAGTGGTGGTGTCCAGGTAGTGGATCTTGTAGAAGTCCAGCAGGGCCGGCAGGTGCTCGAACTCCTGGTCGCCGATTTTGAAGCGGCGCCCGGGCAGCGAGTTGATGATGTAGTGCGAGACGCGCGAGTTCTCCGAGACCGAGAGCACGTAGTCGCCGGGGCAGGTGGAGGAGTCGCGCACCAGGAAGGTGCCGTGCCGCTGCCCCTGCAGCCGCGCCTGTGCCTCCGCCCGCGACAGCGGCCCCACGTACCAAGAGGAGCGCTCCGACGCGTCGAAGCGGGCCGCCGCCGCCGCGCACGACGACGACATCGCGAGGGCGGACGGGAGCGACGGACGAGGAAGGCCTGGACAAGACTAGGACGAAGGCGTCAGCCGCGGGGCATCGCGCGACGCGGCTCTCGAAGCGTCAGCCTCGGGGCCAGACGACCGCTCCGGCCTACCGCTCCGCCGAGGCCCAGAGCCAAAATGGCGGTCCAGGCAGCCGCGGGAGGAAAGGGGGCGGCCGCCACCACGCCCTCTGCGCAGCCGCACCAGGAGGAGGCGCGCTCTCGCCGTCCGACTTCAGGGGACGTGCTTGGACAGCGCCCTCTCCGGCGCGCGGGGGCGCGCGTGAGGCCCGGGGCTCCCGTGGACGGAGAACGGTGCCAACGGCTTAGTCCCGGCTTGAGAGACGGAACTTCTGGCTCGACTTCCTCCATAGTTTCGCCTCACGACCACCCTGCGATGACGCTTGCTCCAGAATCACGCAGGGGGCTTCGTGGCCGAGCGAGGACCGGAACCTGGATTCGCGGTCTCGCTTCGGGCTGGGATGAGAGAGGACGCTGCGCGACCAGAGGCGGGGGCTGGGTGGCCGCTGCCCAGTGCCAGAGGCCGCGTCTGCGCAGACGGGCTGGGAGGGCAGCTCCCGCTTGAAACAGGGCTGGGCGAGTTCCCGGAGGGATTCGCGGCGGAAAGCCCCACCTGCCCACTTGAAAGAGGCTCTCGGGGATTGACTTAAATTGCACAGAAGGCGAATCTGAACCATGAATTTCCTGCCCAAATCAGTGCAGATGATTTGCAACCTGCCTGGGATCATCCCAATGAGTTCCTCCTCTTCGATTAAAGTTTTGGGCTGCACAGAATTCCCTGACATCTTGTAGAGCGCACCCTTATGTTGGGTGCATGATTTGGTATTGCTCTAGAGACTTTTGGTATTCTTGGCATGGGACAGTGCCCTCCAATTACAGAAAGTCTTGAGCCAAACGGGGACCAAAACCATCTTGAACAGAACCATCACTCTCTTGCATGTGTGTGGGGCATGACCTGAACTTGGCCCAAAGCTCCTGTTGATGCTCTGGTCGAACTTTGGAATGGGGAAATGACCAGGGCTATTGACACGATCGCGCCTAAGCGTCCTCTCCCACCGAGCAGAGCCCACTCTTCCCCTTGGTATACATCTGAATTGCGGGTGATGAAGCGGGTTGGGAGACGTCTAGAGCGTAGGTGGAGGAAGTCATGGGATGAATCTGACCGAACACACTTAAGAGCCCATTATCAGGCCTATGCTGTGGCGGTGAGGGTGATGAAAAAGAAATTCTTCTCTGTTTCCATTGCCTCCTCACAATGCCGTCCAGCGGAGCTTTTTCGTGTGCTACAAGGGCTGGTTCATCCTGGCCCCAAGAAATACCCTGTACCGCCCTCGACGGCCCGCTGTGATGACTTTGCCAAGCATTTTAAGGAGAAAATTGCTCAGATTCGTCACGAGCTGGACTCCACTAGTGACTCAGAGCCTTCAGGGGAGGAACCAATGTTGCCGTCTGGTCCAAAATTGATGGATGAATTTCAGTAGTTGCGGCCGTGGACAAGGTGCTTGGACAAGTACATCCCACCACCTGCCTTTTGGACCCTTGCCCATCTTGGCTACTTAACAATGCCAAGCACGGGATAGGGACTTGGATCCTGGAGGTTGTCAACGCCTCTCTGAGGGATGGCCGGGTACCTGCCCCTTTAAAGGAGGCGGTAGTCCGACCAGTCCTAAAGAAGGCATCCCTGGATCCAGAGATGGCCACCAATTACAGACCGGTGGCCAACATCCCGTTTTTGGGCAAGGTGTTGGAGCGGGTGGTGGCAGGACAACTCCAAGCACTCTTGGATGAAACTGATTATCTGGACCCATTTCAGCCGATTCCAGAAGGTGGTGCTGGGGGACTATGGCTCTGCGCCATGGCAGCTATGCCATGGAGTTCTGCAGGGGTCCATTTTGTCCCCCTTGCTATTTAACATCTACATGAAACCGCTGGGAGAGGTCATTAGGTGGTGTAGACTGCGGAATCATCAGTACGCTGATGATGCCCAGCTCTACCTCTTGTTTTCAACCAATCCAGGTGAGGCAGTGGCTGTACTGAACCGGTGCCTGGCCGAGGTAATGGGCTGGATGAGGGCCAATAAACTGAAGCTCAATCCAGACAAGACAGAGGTCTTGTTGGTAGGCGGCTCGGGCTTCGGGGAAGGGGACCTTGATCTTGTCCTGATACTTCAATTGGTGCAAAACAGAGCTGCCAGGTTGCTGACGGGGACTGGGCGTTGTGCTCACATAACTCCAGTCCTCCGTCAGCTTCACTGGCTCCCCATTGAAGTCCGGGCCCAATTCAAGGTGTTGGTTATTACCTATAAAGCCCTTAACGGCTTGGGTCCTGATCACCTAAAGGAGCGCTTACGTCCATATGTGCCCTCCCACCCCTTGAGATTGGTGGCAGAGGCCCTTCTCCAGGAGCCCTCCGTGAAGGACATTAGGAGGGTGAGTACCCAGAGGAGGGCTTTCTCTGCAGTGGCACCCGACCTATGGAAAGCACTCCCCAGAGAGGACCACTTGGCACTGTCATTATTTGCTTTTTGGCACCAAGCCAAGACCTTTTTATTTAAACGTCATTTTAATTGTTGATTTTATTTATTCATTTTAACAACTTTGGCCAGGATGTCTCCAACTGCACTTTATTGTATTAATGATATTTATTTGTAAGCCGCCCCGAGGCTTAGGCTAATAGGGCAGCATATAAATCCGCTAAATAAATAAATAAATAAATAAATCTTAAGTCTAGGTACATGGCATTAGTTCTGTATTTTATTCTATCTCACTGAGGTAGTTTTGGTAGAGTGCAAGATGCTTGACCTCATCCTGCACACGCAGGATTTGAGACAAGCCAATCTAACTTCTACCCAGTAGAAGTCATTTTCCTAGATAAGCAATTCTACAATTCAATGTCCCAATTCTTTATTTGGAAAATACAACACCAGTTCCTTTTTGTTTTCTACTTAGTGCCAAGTGGTGGCGCTTCTAGCTGTGCACTCACAGAAAAATTCGGACTGGACAGATGTATTGGACAAATTCATGGAGAAGTCTATCAGTGGTACCAGTCCCAATGGCTCCATATTAGCTCTGGTGCCAGGGGCAGTATACCTGTATACACTAGTTGCTAGGGACCTTGGACAGAATTGTTGCATTCATCCTGCTTGAGGGATCCTGGGGGCAGTTGGTGTCCCACCACATGGATGGTGTGTCACTGGTCTGATTCAATATACAGTGGTACCTCGGCTCACGAATGCCTCAGTTCACAATCAAATCAGGTCGCGAACAAAAATTTCACAAAAATTTTGACTCAGGTCGTGAACTCTGCATTGGGTGGTGACCGCGATCGCAGCCATCTCCCCACCCCCTGAGTGGGGAGATGGCCACAATTGCAGTCGCTCTCGTGCAGGGAAGACAGGTGTGATCGCAGTTATACTCGGGGGGGGGGGGGGGGGGTTGGCCCCTGTCGTGGGGGGGGGGGGGGGGGATGGCCGAGATTGCACCTGTCTTCCCTGCACGAGCGCACCCATGATCGCACATGTCTTTCCTGCATGAACACAACTGCGATCTTGGCCATCTCCCCCACCTCAGCACAATCGCACCAGTCTCCCCCCCCCCCGCCTCCAAAGTGCGCCCGCGATCGCACCCATCTCTCCCACCAGTGCACCCGCAATTGCACCCGTCTCTCCCTCGCAAGCGCGCCTGTCGGTGGCTGTGATCGCACTCATGCTGGGCGGGGGGATGCCTGTGATCTTTGTTTTTTGTCACTTTGCTTCAAATTTTTCTGATTAAAAAAAAATAGTTGCAGAACAGATTGACCTTATTTTCATTGAGCCTTATGGGGAAATATGACTTGGCTCACGA